TTTTCTTCCTCTCGACTCCACAATCACCACCCACCAAAATAGCGCCATATTTATCTAAACAATCACACTGAGTGACATTTTTATATCCAGTTTTTTCCCTTCTATTTCTTTTGAAGAAAATATTCTATTTCGGAAATCAGTTTTTTTTTTTTTATATATTTATTTCTTATTGGTCTGAATTTTGGCGCCAAGAAGGAAATAACCATTTTCTGACGAAGAGAATGCCGTTTCATTTTGCGTTTTAAGTAAAGAGCTAAAATTGTGAAGTACCGGTGTGAAATCCAATAGAATTGATCGGAAAAGTTCATATTAAACCTGTGCATCAAATGATAGATTGAGTGATATTAATAATCATACATACATTGGTGTTACACGGGTGAACATTAGACAATTTTCCCAGGAGTACCATATTCTGTGAGCGACTGAGGTTGCAAAAATAATTCTGGGACGGGATGCCCGCACAGCGTACGAGCCAGCCCAATCATTTTCCCTGTCAGGATATATCTATATCTGTATCTGTATCTATTATTTCACAATTCCAATTGGACTTGATGTCATGTCGGTGATATATTTAAAGAAATAGAGATTTTTTTGTTGGGTAGGTAGGTGTGAAGGAAGTGATAGATATATAGATAGAACTAGATTCATAAATATATAATCGATACACACAGATATATATTATTATATATCTATTATTTAGGTATGTATGAAGGAAGGTGTAAAATTATACATAGGATGACATTCATAAATAAATAATAGATACAAATAACTCACGTTCACACACACATACACATATATATATATATATATATATATATATATATATATATATATATAACACGACCGGCCTGGCTCGATCCTGGATGGTCCCCTCGCTGGTCAGGACTGCCACCTGTGAACTGATGGTTATCTGCTGACCGCTTCGTTTACTTATCTGCCCTGCCCACGTTGCGTTCTTTGATCACTGAGCAGTGAAAATCGAATTATCGCTTGTACTTAATAGCTGAACCGTGCTATAAAAGACGACAAAAATGCTTCCGCCGGCGAAAATAAAAATAACATAAAAATATACCGAAGAAGGTCACCTGGTTAATTTTCAATTGGTTTATATAGTTTTTGATTAAACAGAATTAACCCTCCCCGTTAAACTGTCAATCGTGACACTAGGTCGATATGGAATTCTCTAGGCAGCAGGTCACGTGGATTTCAGTAGCTTCTTCGTCTGCTGCTGTCTCATCTCGTTTCGTTTCTTGTCGTCTGTCGCTATAACTGCTGGTTCGCTTTATGTATTTCGCCCGTCACACACCGCATCTAAGATCTCTTCAATATTCAATATACATATCTGTTAATTCAAACAATGCGGTCAGTTATTCAAAATAATACATTCTTCGACAACAAACTTTGTTTATCATTCCTTTCTATATTTATTCAAAACAAAAATTTTCCGATAAATACTTTGTGTTTATAAATTATTTTATATGTCCTTGACGTCAAAATAATTGTCCGACTTTTCAATGTATCCGATTAAAGCTAAGATTTACTTTGTTGCACGTGTTTTATATACAAAAGCAAGCATAGCCTTGGTTTATCCAGGCTTTTAAAGTTGAGTACGTCCATGAATGTTCATTAGGCGATTGAAAAGCCAGTCAAAACATCTAGAGGATAAACAGGAAAATATTGTTTAGTGTGTGATTTACTGCTGTGGTATGAGATGGATATATGCGTTGTACATTTTCAAGTGGACTGAACCCCTTTTCTTTTGATTTTTCAATATATTTGCTGCCATGTATGCTGGATTGAAAAAGTAGTATTTCTTTCAAGAAAAGTAAGATTGGAAAGAATCCAGGTTGTAGATTTATATTTGGATAAGATTCAGTGGCGTCATTCTCGCAAACTTTCATTATGAGTAAGATATTTTCTCTTTTAATGAGTGTGGAACTTTTTAGATCAACACTATTGTTGAATTTATTTCTGCGTATGACTAGTGCATTTGATAAATTGTTATGTTTAGAGTGCCTTTTGTATTCATAGATATGTAATTTATTTTAATTTCTGGAAGTTTCCCCAATGTATTTTGAGGAACAGTTTTGGCATTTTAGGTTATATATTCTGAATTTTTAAGTTTTACGGGTGCTTTTAACTTTGATCATATCCATAATTGCTTTGAAAGTGGTCGTGATATTTGAAAGAGGTTTAGATGAAATGAGTTTATTGTGGTGGATAAAGCCATCTTTTTTATGGTCGTATACTTTATTTGTTTTTCTCTTTACCTTGTAAATGAAGTAATAATATGTTATGAAGGTTTTTGAATGATGTTTCTATGGGCGTTTCTTCTTTATATATATATATATATATATATATATATATATATATATATATATATAACTGCGTGTGTGTGTGTGTGTATATGTGTGTGTGTGCAATTCACTGACATAATTCGTGCAATCGCCATCGATGGCCTGTCTGTTATCCCAGTTTATCATGACATGAAAAAATAACTCACCCACCTCCAGCCTCTGGGTATATTTTTAATTTATTCATTTAGCATAGATGTGATATTTAATTGGATACCCAAGACATACCTATCAGTCTGATTTTATTTATGATCTCATGTTCCCTACTTTAATTTTTGGAAAAGAGGTAACAATTCGTTTTTAAATTTCCTTAAAAATCATTTAGTCACCAGTTACATAGCATCGCCTGAAGAAGTACAATCAAAGTATTGAAATATGATAGCTTTTGTATAGCGATTTCAATGTTTTTATTATAATCTTTTATAAATAATAATAATATATTGTTGTACTGAGCACTTTTTCTAAGTTAAATGCTACGAACAGTGGAATTTTTCTCTATACGTTTTTTCACATTTGGATACATGCAGACATACATAAAACACACACACACACACACGCACACACACACACACACACACACATATATATATATATATATATATATATATATATATATACTCATATATATATGTCTATCTATGTATATATATATATGTGTGTGTGTGAGACACAGAGAGAGAGTGTCTGTATGTGTATGTGTGTGATTGTGCATATAGTCAGAAAATTCTCTTTTATAACTGTCTGAGTGAATAAATTAGAAACATTGTGTTTGCTTATATTTATCATAATCGTTTCATATTCAAGAATATTGTTCCGTAGATTACGGTGAATTTCTTGCCTTATTTAATTGGAATACACGGAAAAATATTAGTGAAAATGACAGGATTATGATACAAATAAGCAGATATTATGTTTTTAATTTATTCAAACAGATAAATATATATATATATGTATGTATATATATATATATATATAAATGTATACACACACACACATACACACACATACACACACACACACATATATATATATATAAATGTATACACACACACATACGCACACACACACACATAGAGATATAAAGACACAGCTAAAATCATAATTCATGTTTCCAACGTTACAGATAAATCCAATTTACTAGACAAGGGTTGTCTCGATGTCTATATAAATTGGTAAATTGGATTCATCTGTAACCTTGGCAAAGGGAAACGCATATTTATAGGCGATAGCCAAAATTATACCATGTGACCAATGAAAGAACCACAAACGCAAACACAAAACCACCTGAGTTTACCCCCCCCCACTCAGCGTTTGCGTTTGTGGTTCTTTCTTTGGTCACCGAATCTTGTCATCATTTGGAATCATGTATAGTATACTTCTCAAGGACACATAGAACTGAGCCTTTAAAATGTCTGTACTCTGCATTGTTGGAGCGTAGGCAGTAATGATTGTAGCGTATAGTGATGTAGGCGACGGGTCATTAGACGTTCATTGACCCCTTTAGGAAGCCAGCATGTATTGGCACAAGTGGGTTACGTACGGCAAAACAGACACTAGCTACTCTATCCTCCTCGGCGCAATTTACCTTCCAGAAGAAAGTGTAGCCACCTCCAACGTCTTGAATTTGACCATCACTAGCTAAACGAGTTTCCGAAAGAGCAGATACATCTATAGAATATCTCTCTAGTTCCATAGACACCAGAGTTTTTCTGCGTTGAGGAGCAGACACCAACGGATTATCTATGGGAATCCATACCGTCCCAACAAGATAGTTTTAGTTTTTATTCTTAGTGTCTTTTTTACATTTTGTTCGGGCGCCAAATGGATATCCGCCAGCCGCATTATACTGGTCAGATGAATGAGACAGGCAATTTTGGGGTCATCTTTTCTAGATCCTTCCAGCAATCTTCTGGTGAGCAGTGCTCTGCTTAAAAGGGATGGGCCCGCAGCCCTGGAAGAACACGAAGCCGCCCTCGTCTCAATGAAGAAGAGCTAGCGAGTTTACATCTATCTACCCAGAGACCGTCAAATTTACATGTCAACAGCTACTCACTTCCAGCCAGTCAGAACTGTACGTGCCCGCTGCATCGCCATCAGACTTGGATTGAAAATAAAAAAAAAATCAAAAAAAAATCTAGCAAGTCCTCAGTAGTGCTCGTGCGGGTTTTAAGGTCGGGTGCCACTTGCATATCACTGCATCGACCCTCAACACAAAACCACATTGTTTAGAGACAAACAGTTGCAAGATATCTAGATATAATAATAAATGGGAGGGAGAATTTCTATCAGAGTGTCCTTCTCCTAGGAGAATGTCAGAAGTCTTCAGAGGTCCCACCCCGAATGGGCTAACCGCTAGTCTGGATATCAGCCGAAATATTTCTATGGCCTCTGGAAGAGATTGCTAGATGGTCGTTGACTTTTAAAAGTGGTACATGTGCTATTTGACAGGTCTTATTTTTGTCCTGCACGGTTTCTAGCCACCCTCCTCATCAGGTAAACCTGGTGTGAGAACCGGCTTCATTACCGATTGCCCGACTATGCAACAGTTAGTACTGGTTCACATGATACCAGTAGCTTCCCATCAGAATGACCTCACAGACACACACACACACACACACACAGATAGCTAGCTAGCTAGCTAGCTAGCTAGATAGATAGATAGATACGAACAGACTGAAAAAGATAGATATGAAAAGAAGGAAAAGAGATAGATAGATAGATAGATAGATAGATAGATAGATAGATAGATAGATAGATAGATAGATAGATTGATTGATTAATTGATAAATAGATACAGAAACAGATAGTTACGAAGCGAGTGAAAGAAGATAGATAGATAGATAGATATGAAAAGATTGAGATAGATAGATAGATAGATAGATACATATGAAAAGACTGAGATAGATAGAGAGATAGATAGATAGATAATTAATGAACATAACTAGATAGATAGATAGATAGTTTGATTGATTGATAAAGAGATAGTTATGAAGCGAGTGAAAGTGATAGATAGATAGATAGATAGATAGATAGATAGATATGAAGCGACTATAATCGATAGATATAAAACGGACAGAAGAATCAACAACAAACAAACGAAAGTAAAAAGAAAGAAAAAATGAAGAAAGAAAGCAAAAAGAAAGAATAAAAGAAAAGAAAGGAAAATGAAAGAAAAATGAAAGAAAAAGAAAGAAAGAAAGAAAAAAGAAAGAAAAAGAAAGAAATAAAGAAAGAATCCATGATAGATATAAAATGACTATCCTGAGAATAGGACGTTAACTTGTAAACACTTTCGATTGACTAAGTTTGATATTTTCTTTCAGCCGAAAGCTAATTTCGAAATCAGGTGTGTTGGTAGACAAGCTAGTATACTAAATGATTTCTATACAGCGAGATGTACTATTTCTGAACGGAGTTTAGACCAGCAACATGGCCCTGAATGTGTGCGTTTCCAAAATACAAAATTTGAATGAGAAAATCTAAAAATTCTATGTAACACGCTTCGACCTTGAAAAGGTTTTCCCCTGATTTAAAGTAATATTATTCTTGATGGTATTATATGCGTACTTCTTGGGGGTGGGGGGTAATCTAAACGTAAAGTCTGTTATAGACACGTCGACCGTCGGAACCTTTAAAATTTACCCTCCCTACATTTTCAGCTTTTCCCCTCGGTACATAATTATAACGGTCGTTTGCCTTTATATTGCCAACTCTTTATAGAAAGAGAGAGAAAGAGGGAGAGAGGTAAGCAGATGCGCGGACTGAGATGAAGAGATGCCGTTGTGATGCAAATAAATCTATGTTAGCGTAACGCGTACGACACAAGAATAAACATCGTAATTTCTGAACTATAAACAGGTTATTTGTAAGAAGCCACATTCGAGCAAGATTTACCGAAATTGCGTTCTGTCGTTCAAGGTCGAATCGTTGTTCTCCTTAAAGGGCATCCGTTGTGTTGGCGAAGGCGGAAGTCGCGCGTCTAAATCCAAAACCAAAGAGATGCACGAACGAGATCCATTCAGGCACGAGGCCATATGCGCACATCTGCCGAAAAACCGAACAGATACGCGCACATCAGCGTACACATACGCAAAGAAAAGCATACACCTACGCATGTACTACCATTAACTGTTTCTACATACGTGAGCCGTTAAGTATTTAAATCGCTCTAATTGGTTGAACAGTATTTCAACTAAAAATGTCGAAAACAGCCACTCGTATGAAAAACGTAGTAAAGTGAAACAAACGCTGTGTAAAAGAATAAACATAAAATTGTTTCGACATTGATTGACTCATCAGTAATTAAATTATTATATATCTATATACAGAGTGCAGCGGAAATATCTCCCACATATACCTCCTAGCGGGAGGTATTTCTGGGAATTATATGTGAAAGATACTTCTGCCTTCTCCAATATATATATATATATATATATATATGTGTGTGTGTGTGTGTGTGCGTGCAAATATATAGAAAAATAGGAAAGAACATCTTAGGTAAATAATCCGAAGTTCTTTCGTAATTTTGTTTTTATTTAAAAAAAAACAAACAAAAAACAGCGCACAATACAAAAGTAAAGCCTAAATTGTAATTATAATTATTTTTTTTAAAATATGATTCCTTCGCTACATAAGATATACATGATTCATTCGTTACACATATATATGTATATATGTGTGTGTGGGGGGGTGTCTGTGTGTTTGTGTGTCTGTGTATAGATAGAGAGAGGGCTTTTTATTATTATTATTGTTATAATTATTATATATATATATGTATATATATATATATATATGTATATATATAACATAAAGGCGACAGACTGATGTTAAACGAAATCATCAGGCCACGTGATTGCGTTTAGTAGGAAACAGTCTGTCGCCACTGTCTGTTGAATTCAATGTTCACTTTTATATTTATATTAATATATGCTTTATCTCTGATATTGAGCACTTTATTCCATAAATATAGCACACGTTAAAACTATATTTTTCGTCTTTGTATATATATATATATATATATATATATATATATATATATATATATATATATATATATGTAAAAAATTTACATATAATTAACCTGTAGAAAAAATCAATATGCATGAAAGAAATAGGCAATATGTAAACTATTGTTTTCTTCGAGGCCTTTCCTCAAATGTGGACTTTTTCTTCGCAATATCAGTTTTCCTAACAGAATCTCTACATTCCCAAGCCAACGAACACAACATATACATGAAGAAATCAAATGAAAACGTTGGAATCCGTCATCACAATACACTATTGCTACATGTGGAAATATTCTCTTGAAACATTAAGTAGTTGAGTTAATTTTTCAGTTAACCATATGAATGTACAATAAAGTTCCTGAATTCTTATAGCTGGTAACGACATTGTGTTTGTTGTTTATAGATATTTGTTTCATTAAATTATTCTCTTTGCAAAAGTCCATATAGAACAAAACGCGTCGGCTAAACATCAATTTTCCTATTGCCGTTTTTTTTTAACGCGCACACACACACACACACACACACACATATATATATATATATATATATATATATATATATATATATATATATATATATATATGTCTGTGTGTGTGTATGCGTGTATGTATTAATGAATGCATATTTTATAAAAAAATAGAGACAAGTTTTGTCTATTTATTTTCAGCAAATTCCTTTCATATCGTCTAAGAAGGTTAATAACATTATCATTGAAAGACGAAAGAAAATCACATAGCAACAATGGTAGTCTGTTTTTTGGGGTTTTTTTGCATGGAAGATTTCCAAGCAACGAAAACTCGTGCATACGAGCCGCTGGAAGGGAAAATCGCACCGCAGCCCATGACATCACACATGAACACGCGAGAGTGAAAACGAGAAGTGTTAAATATGGGAAGCCGTTGGTATAAACCAAAGTATATTTGTGGAGTTTTCATAGTTTTTTTTCAGGTTACATTTCAACTATTTTATGTATATACCTCCAAGAATTTTTATATTTTGATATATATATATATATATATATATATATATATATATATATATATGTATTTAGGCAGCAATCTTTTATTTATACATGTTACACTAAAGCCGACAGGTAAGTTACTGTGATTAAGCTTTTTATTCAATTTTTCTTGTGTTTGAACAAGTGTTTAGATTTTTGGACACAAAGTGTGTAGAAGGATCATATTTTTAGCACATACAACGAGCTAAAAAGTTATTAATTAAATCATCTTTGAAGATGGCTAAAAGTACATCCGAAAGAGCTCGGAACTACAAACTATTTGAACAGTTTCTACACACTCTGTGTTCAGAAAAGAAAACACTTGTACATATAGATAAAATTTTAGGAAGTCGTTAAAAAAAAAAACAAATGTTAGCGACATACGACAGTTTTTTTTATATACACAAAACCGTTTCAGGAAATAAGTAAAAAAATAAAATAAAAAGATAAATAAATCTCCATAGACGATGTCATCTTCCGCTTTAAATTTAGACACCCCAACCTTACCCTGACTTGACATCTGTGAATGTAACTTACGCCTCTTTTCTTTAAACAATTGCTCTAGCCGTTACCATAGTAATTTTAATTTCAATAATGAATATGCTTATAAAACGCGTAAATTTCAGAAATAAGTTATTCCAAAAATATTTCGCTTGAAGATGGAACAGAGCTTAGTACGTTAATTCAATTTAATTCAAATAATTATATTATAAGTTTTAGGCTCTTGTTTTGAAACATGAGAACTCTTATGTAGCGATGGAATCGTATTTTTAAATAAATAATTATATTTATGCTCTACTTTTGTATCGAGCACTATTTTTTAAAAATAATAAGAAAAAATATTAAAGAACTTTGGATTCCTTACCTAACAGAGTTCTTTCCTATTTTCTATATATTTTTACACACACACACACACACACACACACACACACACACATATATATATATATATATATATATATATATATATATATAGCGTAACACGTACGACACAAGAATAAACATCGTAATTTCTGAACTATAACCAGGTTATGACGTTCAAGGTTGTATCGTTGTTCTCCTTAAAGGGCATCCGTTGGGGTTGTACACAAAATCTAAATCAATGATGTATTCATCAAATGTGGCATCTGTGGTATAGAATCCTTACTGATGCCATCACAAGGGATGGTCAGGTCATAAGAATGAGTAAAGAACGGATGCCTAAAATCCTTATGTATAGCCAACTTTTTCATTGTATGCATCATGTAGGCCGTCCCTGGTTACAATTCAAGGACAAACTCAAATACAATTTAAATGCTGCAAACATCCCTAGAGATGAGTTCCCAAATTGCTGTTGAAAGCCGAGCAAACTGGAGAAACACATGCCACCGAGGTATAAATAACTTTGAAAAGAATCGTCTCAGTCAACTGTGAGAATTATTCAGGAACAATAAATCTTGGGTCAATATATCAGCCCATATGCCAGTCAACCCTAAGAAACATTATCATAAAAACTGAACTGAAACTCATACGTCGAAAAGGACTGAGAGTCCATCATATATATATATATATACATATATATATATATATATATATATATATATATATATATATATGGGGTGGTAGGTTACCTTTTTTTCTAACGAGAGAATTTTTTTTGAATTTTGAAAAGTTATAAAAGGTATATATCTTAGTTAGATTTTCGAGCAATGGAGCTAATCCACCAGTATTCATATCGATGGTGCGACAATATATATATATATATATATATATATATATATATATATATATATATATATATATGTAAAAGTGAACATAGAATCAACAGAGACGACGACAGTCTGTTTCATGCTACATGCAATCGTCACACCACGAGCCTGACGATTGCATCCAGCATGAAACAGACTGTCGCCTCTAAGTGTTGACTTCTATGTTCACTTTTATATTTACACACGCTCTATAAATATACCACATCTTCAGACTCTCTCTCTCTCTCTCTATATATATATATATATATATATATATAATAAAAGGCTTAAACACTAATATTCCATGGTCATAATTTATTCCATTGGAATCGTAAATACGATCCAAATCATCAGACCTAACCCCGATCTTTTAATAGGAGTAGAGGTTTATATCTTGTTTTCTGTTCAGAATTGTGTTTCCAGTTCCTTCTAAAGACTTCTTATTCAGTTTTACTGTCAGCATCCCTAAGAATCTTAGTGGCATTATTGCTGTTATGGGGTCCACAACTTTTTATACAAGTGGACTCGCCCAGTGTGTATTTGTACTTCAGCTGGTGAATACCCGGATGTGAGAAGGTGAGAGAGTGAAAGTGTGAGGTAACCGCTTTGTAGGAGTCACAGTTGCGAGCACGTAGACTCAGAAGGAAGTCATGCTTCGATACTGAATTTCCCAGACTGTATATATATTATTATTGCTACTAACCGCATTTCTGGATCTACTAACCGTATTACCAATTGTATTATTAGGTCAATACATTTATTTGCTATATTTCATTCCTGCGTTTGTCATTCATTTGAGACCGGATTTCACCCCGGAATCCACAACGATTGACTTTCTTTGGAGTGAACTGATAAAAAAAAAAAATAATTCTTTTCTTTATGTGTCCAATAAAGCGGGACTGGCTAACATGAATATAAATAATTTAAATTTACATCTAAATTAACAGTTACAAGTTTCAAGAATCTGCCATTAATCTCCAGGATGTCCTCTATCAAATGACCAGTACCATGTAGAGGTCAATTTCACATATAAGACATTAAAAATGCAAAAAAATATATTCATATGATCTTATATCGGCGTGCTTGTGGAGATTTCTTCCATTTCTTTCTTTCGACGACGTATTTCGCAATAGGTTCTGCTGTCTTCAAATTCATACCTGGTAATATGTTTCAATTTGCTTGATTGCACAATGACTGTATGACCGTTAATCGAATTAAGCTTTTTTTTAAAATTTGTACAACCTGGAACAAGTTCACAATTTGTCTTTCGTGAGGCTTGCGAAATTGATACAAATGTGTACATGCAATCTGAGAACGGGCGAAGGATTTTGGTCGAATCGATATAAACTAAGGAGTGAGTGTAAAGTGTGGTCGGGGACATATGATGAAAAGGGCAAATAAGCAGGACAACCTACACGTACGCGTACCCGCCCAGACGAGCGCATGGGGGCACACGACCGAACGCACATTCGTTCAGGCACGCACACACAAAACATGAAAAAAAATGATACCTGCATAAAAAAGAAAAATTGAGAAGTATAAGCAGCCCATTGGTGATAACCCCTGATGTGTGGACGGGCAGTCCTTCCTATGGAACTTTGGTGTCGGGATGCTGAGGGTAACATCAATCAGCTAAGTGACAAAACTTTTACGTATATTAATTATTTATATATATATTGTGTGGATTTAGGCAGCAAAGTATATTTTAGGCATATCTGATTGAACAAGTTACATACATAATATTTGCTTATTTTGAACATAATCCTTTCATATTGACGAATATTTTCCCCTTATATTACAATTAAATAAGGCAAGAAACGCACTTTAAGAGTAAGAATCACTTTTAGTTTTACAGGAAGATATGAAAAGCATTTGAGAAAAAAAGTGATTTTCAGTGTTACAGTGCATTTCTTGCTTTATTTAATTGTAATATACAGAAAAATATTCGTGAATATGAAAGTATTGTGATCCAAATACTCATAATATATATATATTTTCCCCCATCTATGGGTTAATTAGTATAACTTGTATCATTAAAGCATTATTATCTCAAAAATATCGAACATGCTTATTCTTTTCTTCTTGGCATCCATCTCAAATGGAGATCTAAACTGAAATAAGATTTCGATAACTGTATGCAACAGTTTCACAGGAAGACCAGGGTTACAAAGAAACGAAACATACTATGAAAGATTATTATTCGAGTAAAATTCGAAAGAATATGTGTCGATATTTCTGAGATGAGGTATTGTAATTATTTACACTATTTACATTGTTCGGACTGTTGTCCTCATCTTCATTGCCATATTCACGACGTTTAGACCGTTGTACTCTCCGGCCTTCTTCTATATCTGTCAATATTTCTGAGATGTGGTATTGTAATTATTTACATTATTTACATTGTTCGGACTGTTGTCCTCATCTTCGTTGCCATATTCACGACGTTTAGACCGTTGTACGCTCCGGCCTTCTTCTATATCTGTCTATATTTCTGAGATGAGGTATTGTAATTATTTACACTATTTACATTGTTCTGACTGTTGTCCTCATCTTCGTTGCCATGTTCACGACGTTTAGACCGTTGTACGCTCCGGCCTTCTTCTATATCTGTCTATATTTCTGAGATGAGGTATTGTAATTATTAACACTATTTACATTGTTCGGACTATTGTTCTCATCTTCGTTGCCATGTTCACGAGGTTTAGACCGTTGTACGCTCCGGCCTTCTTCTATATCTGTCTATATTTTTGAGATGAGGTATTGTAATTATTTACACTATTTACATTGTTCGGACTGTTGTCCTCATCTTTGTTACTATATTCACGGCGTTTAGACCGTTGTAAACTCCGGCCTTCTTCTATATCTGTCTATATTTCTAAGATGATGTATTGTAATAATTTACACTATTTACATTGTTCAGACTGTTGTCCTCATCTTCATTCCCATATTCCCGACGTTTAGACCGTTGTACGCTCCGGCCTTCTTCTATATCTGTCTATATTTCTGAGATGAGGTATAGTAATTATTTACACTATTTTTATTGTTCGGACTGTTGTCCTCATCTTCGTTGCCATATTCATGACGTTTAGACCGTTGTACGCTCCGGCCTTCTTCTATATCTGTCTATATTTTTGAGATGAGGTATTGTAATTATTTACACTATTTACATTGTTCGGACTGTTGTCCTCATCTTTGTTACTATATTCACGGCGTTTAGACCGTTGTAAACTCCGGCCTTCTTCTATATCTGTCTATATTTCTAAGATGATGTATTGTAATAATTTACACTATTTACATTGTTCAGACTGTTGTCCTCATCTTCATTCCCATATTCCCGACGTTTAGACCGTTGTACGCTCCGGCCTTCTTCTATATCTCTCTATATTTCTGAGATGAGGTATAGTAATTATTTACACTATTTTTATTGTTCGGACTGTTGTCCTCATCTTCGTTGCCATATTCACGACGTTTAGACCGTTGTACGCTCCGGCCTTCTTCTATATCTGTCTATATTTCTGATATGAGATATTGTAATAAGTTACACTATTTCCATTGTAAAAGGTTGTAATCTGAAATAGTTCAATCGGGAAAATATACTGGGTTTGACAGAATTTAGTAACTGAGCTTTTTAACTACATGTTTGGTCATGAGTGATGTGGACGCTAGCATTGTCATGTTGAATAATCAAACTGTATATCATGCCATGCCTTTTCAGATGACTCGCCACTTTGAGTCTGTTCATTTCTTCAACATACGGCTTAGCATTGGCCACATACAGAACAAATGTCTCCAGCAGCTTTGGGGAACGTTGTGACCTTGATTCAAAGAAAAAGAAGATATCGAACATGCTTATTCTTGTCTTCTTGGCCATCCATCTCAAAGGGAGATCTAATCTGAAATAAAATTTCAATAACTTTACACAACAGATTCACAGGATGACCAGGGTTACAAAGAATCAAAAGACACTACGAAAGATTATTCATCGATATCATTTGCGGAATATCAGGAAGAAAAGAACGAATCTGTGTAACAACCTAAGATAGCCATTAAATGCTACCCCGCTATTGACTTATTAGTTATTGGTATAAAAGAACATTTCTTACAATGTACTTAATTAAGTGGCCGGTGAGAATATAAATGTTGTAACCCAGGAGAGGGTTACTGAATAAGAATAACCAAAATGAAGGTTGGAGATAAATCAATAATATTTATAACAGGAACAGCATAGAAGATTCGCCAGCCGCGTGTATTAAGTAATCAACTTCTAGAAGTGATTCCCATGTAGACAGTCTATTCTGAAGATATTCACTAACCAAACCATTTAATAAAACTAAGCAAGTTAGAAACGTAGAGATGTAACAACAAAATAAGGCCGTCCTTATCTATTATAAACTGAAGAGATAAAACTTGCTAAATATCACGGCTTTCCTTTTTTATATTACAGTCTCTTCCACTTTAAAGACATATTTGGAATGATGTAGAGTAAATACCTGGGGTGATAGCTTTAAAAATAAACACAGTTTTGCTTAGAATTTATAAGTATTTTACATATGATTTTAAGCACTCACATTTTTTTTATTTTTTTTTTTTATTTTCTGCCAGCATCTGATAAATTGTTATAAGTTGAATATATAAAACTGTCATAGCTGAGAATAAAGGTATATATTTGTCGGGCGTTAAATGGTTTCCAAGTTGTTTTGTATTTTTTTTTTTTTTTTTTTTTTTTATGACAGATATTTCGTTCGATTTGTATTTGGCATAACATGTTTTTGTCTTCGGAAGATGGCGTTATTGTTTTCAGCTAAAAGGAAGTAAAACATCTCGAACACTGTTAACATAAAAATAGTATCAGCTGATACTAGTTTTGCGGTCACTTGAACTCAACTTACCGTATAACACAGTTTTGAAATTCCAGCAAGTAATTAATATATATATATATATATATATATATATATATATATATATATATATATATATATATATAATGATAATAATAATAATAATGATAATAATAATATAAATATATATATATACAGAATGATAATGATAATAATAATAATATAAATATATATATACATATATATATATATATATATATTATCATTATTATTTTTATTATTAAACATAGCAGAAAATGTATGCCAAATATGTCTGATGATGAAACGTTTGAAAGTTTTCTGTTGAAAATAACATTTTTTTTTATTAAGACTGATACATAATTACATAAGAAGTGACTGAGATAGATAGATAGATATGAACAGACTGATATATAATTAGATAAGAACATACTGAGATAGATAGATAGATAGATAGATAGATAGATAGATAGATAGATAGATATGAACAGACTGATATATAATTAGATAAGAACAGACTGAGATAGATAGATAGATAGATAGACAGACAGATAGATAGATAAATAGATATGAACAGACTGATACATAATTAGTTAAGATCAGACTGAGATAGATAGATAGAAATATAGAGGTCCGAATAGATATATAGATAGATAGATAGATAGATAGATATGAACAGACTGATATATAATTAGATAAGAACAGACTGAGATAGATAGAAATATAGAGGTCCGAATAGATAGATAGATAGATAGATAGATAGATAGATAGATATGAACAGACTGATATATAATTAGATAAGAACAGACTGAGATAGATAGATAAATAGATAGATAGATAGATAGACAGACAGACAGACAGACAGATAGATAGATAAATAGATATGAACAGACTGATACATAATTAGTTAAGATCAGACTGAGATAGATAGATAGAAATATAGAGGTCCGAATAGATGAATGAATAGATAGATAGATAGATAGATATGAACAGACTGATATATAATTAGATAAGAACAGACTGAGATAGATAGATAGATAGATAGATAGATAGATAGATAGATAGATAGATAGATAGATAGATCCAGTGCAATTTCTTGCTCGTTTGTCTCTAGGTGTGCTGTCTCTTGACTCCAACCAATTGTTACCAGTTGCCGCAGGTTTGAAACTCATGACAATAATTGAAATACGAATTCTTCAGCTGGTGAGACGACTAAAGTAAAGATGTCTCCAAATCTCATAAGAGTAACAAATACAAGTAAAATTTTGACTTCAAATATAGAAATCGAAGTTTAAGATTTTGAGAAAAATTTCAAGAAGTCATACATACGTGTCTCGACGATTCAAGTAACTTGTTTTTTTTTGCAAAAGTACTTTTGCTTGAATCTAAAAGAGGAAAGACTGGTTTTGGATCAGAAAGTTAAGTAAAAAATTATTACAAATGTAAAATACAGTTGAGTAAATAATATAGATAAAAGAAATCCTGAATTTAGAAATGCATATATATATATATATATATATATATATATATATATATATATGTGTGTGTGTGTGTGTGTGTGTATAATAGTTAGATATGAATGCACTGACACATGTATCTATCGAGATAGATAAAGTTTAAAGTTATAGAACATATATATATATATATACATATGTGTATATGTATATATATATACATTGAAGATAGATAGATGAAACGAGATTATGAATAGATAGATAGATAGATAGATCGATGAAACGAGGGAGATTATGAATAGATAGATAGATAGATAGATAGATAGATAGATAGATAGATAGATAGATAGATAGATAGAGTTAGAGAGATTATGAAGAGATGGATATGAATAGACGTTATCATAAAGATGAATCTAAAATATAAACTAAGAAATAAGAAAAGCTTTCTCTATATATAATGGACATAAAAGAAGAGTTACAAAAATAAATAGAAAAAAAAGAATGAAAAAGAGAAGAAATGATTAAATGAATGAACAAACCATTGATAGAAGCTCGTGATAGAACATATAAGTCATATATGCATTCTAAGCATAGATAGATAGATAGATAGATAGATAGATTGATATCAATGGACTGAAATAGAGAGCGAAAGTTCGATAGTGAGTGGCAGGTTGTGAGAGAGAAACCATTGAGTTAGATAGATAGATAGATAGATAGATAGATAGATAGATAGATAGATAGAAATAAACAGACATTTACATAAATATATAAGAACTGGCTGATATAGATACGAACAGACAGATGCATAAATATATAAGAAAAGTCAAGATAGATAGATAGATAAATATTATCAATAGGAACAGCCTGAAATATGTACATACAAGTGAATAGGCTCAGATAGATAGATAGATAGGTAGATAGATAGATAGATAGATAGATAGATAGATAGATAGATAGATAAAATAATACATCTTTAAGAACAGACTGAGATATAGAGATGACAATGTGCAAGATGTGAAAAAGCTAATTGTAACGGCCGTAAAAACACGCGCGTACACACCCTGTTTTAGTTATTTTATAATTTTAAATTTATCAGTTGTAGC